CAAACCAACTGTTTTAATGGCAGAAGCATATGGTCTGTCCAAACATCTGGACGCTTACATTCGACATCTGAGAAAGAATCAAGCAGGTTTTCTGCCAGTTTAGGGGGGAGGTGGACAATCTACACAGGTGAAACGTCTCAAGTGGTTGAGCAGCGCCAACCAAGGTTTGCCTGAACTTTGGAGAAGCCTTCCACTCTGAGGGTGGACTGCTTCTTCTGGATTGACTCAGCAAGCGTTGTATTCCCATGAAATGAACACACCTTACAATCTGTGTTTTTGCACTTTAAGTGCTCAAACTCACCTCAGGATCTTCCATCATCTTACGCCTGTCTACTCTGAGTCTTCAGTAGAGATTCCCTTCGGTAAATGAAACCAAACCGAGAAGTGCTGTGAAGCCTTTTCATTCTTTTGTTGAACCGTCAGCACTGCACATGCCACAAAGCTCCAAGGAGTCTCGAACCCGTGACCACTCGGCTAGTTGTTTGAACACTTAACCGTCTAGTCACGAGCGTCTGGTCAACAGTGTGATTAGCTCCCACTTAGACAGAATTTAGCGCCTTTTAATCATCAGTCACGGAAATCAGACACTGACTGGTTCCTCGGACGAAGACCTCCCAGATGGAAGTTTCACTCATCTTGTTACTTCTTCCGGGCTGCTGCTCATAAAAAAATTAGCCGCTCACCCCGTGAGTGAAAACAATAGACTCGAGTTTTCGGGTTGTTGATTTGGTTGCAGCAGATGACATTCATGACCTTGAGTAATTCAGGACGCCAGGAACTAATTTCAGCGGAGATGAAGGGATCTACGACCCAAGGACTTCGGATTTCTTTAAATATGTAATTCTTGGTGTCTTTTTAAGTCGTGTCGGATAGGCCATGAAATTGCAGCGCGAAATGATTCGACTGCAGTCAGACTAGGTGTTGTGTGACCTCCGCCCTTTTCTGAATGGTTCTAGTTGCCATTCGCTGGAAGTTCCGGATGACATGACACGTAGACGCTTCCAGTAATGGAGAGATGGCCCAGTGATTAGAGTGCACATTTACGGACCGGAAGGTCCCTGGTTCGAACCCGCCCTCTGCCACTCGACTCCCTCTGTCTAGGCTTGTGCAACCTGACAGTATTCCAGCCCTCCTACTTCCTTCGGGTGGCATTGGAGTTTGGCATTGAAAGGGTGCTACAGTTGAACGATTTTGTCTCAATCCCACTGCGCTGAGCTGAAGTCAGAAAATTTTCTGGAGGGCTCCATCAATTGTTCCTTGTCCCGATTAGATTCTCAAGCTGTTTAGGGTACAGACGTCCCACTATTGATCGTCTTCTCTAGAGACTTATGCTATTTCACTTTCTTCTTACTCTTTAATTAGGTGTGATTTACTCACGACTGGACACTGTGTAGTGCTGATATACTTTTGTCAGCGACGGGTTGATGATGACTACTCGAATTTAGTCAGAAGTCATGATCTGGTGGCCGCCGAGGCATGTACTGACAGCGTTGGCCCCTCAAGCTTCTACCTACACGAACTGTCCACGTTTCCTCTTGTTTTGTTCCACAAGACTGGCGTTTGATAGGCGCTTAGTAGGCCTGTCGCTTTGGGCGGTTCTCAGCGGAGCGGTCCTTTGCCTTACTCGGCTGTTCGCATTCTGTTAAGTGC